AGTTACTGGGAAGAAGCTACAGAGCCGGGAGCCGGGACCCGGGACCGGAACCCAAGTCCATCTGAACCCCACGCCACCGTATCTCACAAATAAACCACCACACCTGACAGAAAAAAAACAATCTTATGCAAAGAAGGCATCTGAGGGACGCCTGGGGGGCTCAGTCAGCTGGGGGTCTACCTCTGGCTCAGATCATGTTCCCAGGGTCTGGGATTGAGCCCCATATCAGGCTCCCTGCTCAGCGGGGAGCTTGCTTCTCCCTCTCTCTCTGCCTGCCCCCCCCCCCCCCCCCCCCCCCCCCCCCCCCGCTTGTGCTCTCTGACAAATAAAATCCTTAAAAAAACAACAACAACAAAAAAGACAAAGGAGGCATCTGAGCTGAAGACACCTGCTGAAAGACTAGGTGAGGGAAGAAAAGAAAATAGTGGGGTAAAGAGGGAAGCAAAAGGTGTTTTGGCAAAATTTGCCAAAAATTCTCCTGATGCCATTTCTGGCGTTTCTCCACGCCCATGAACCCAGTTTGGGCCTCGGTCATTCCCCTGGACTCTGGGCCTCTCTCCCTTCTTGCCCACTCAAGTTCACCCTCCATACGTTGTCCTCACACCAGACTGTGTCCCTCACCTGGCTCCCTGATGGCCTCAGGACAAAGTCTAACGGCCCACCCGCCCACAAGATCCCACGAACCATCAGTGCACTGCTCACTGAAAGGTTCTCCCTGTGTCACAAGCCTCAGTCACACAAAACTGCTTGTCGTTTCCAGAATGGCCCGGGGTTCTCTTTTGCCGCTTGCCATCTGCACATGTTGGTCCATGTTCGGAACACTCTTCTCGCTCACCACAACATATACACTGTGCTTCCCCTACCTGGAAGGCTTCTCTGAAATGTCTCCTCTTCTATGAGAGAGAACAAACCCCACTGTCGGGATGCCCCATCCCAGTCCTGACCACTCTGCTTATGCTTCCCCAATCACGGCCCTGGCTACTCTGGGCTACCGCCGTCTGGAAGCAGGTCTGCCTTCCCCACCGGACTGTGGTCCCATGAAGGCGGGACCAGGACTGTCTGTCACCAGTGTTTCCCCAGCACCAGAGAGTACTGGCTGGGCACGATACTCTAAAAGCACAAGGAGGGGGGGGCGCCTGGGTGGCTCAGATGGTTAAGCGTCTGCCTTCGGCTCAGGTCATGATCCCAGGGTCCTGGGATCAAGTCCCACATCGGGTTCCCTGCTCCGCGGAGAGCCTGCTTCTCCCTCTCCCACTCCCCCTGCTTGTGTTCCTGCTCTATCTCTGTCAAATAAATAAATAAAATCTTAAAAAAAAAAAGCACAAGGGGCTTTACATGGCTTCTCTGGTTTTCTTCAACAGCTCAAACTTAATTCCAGCAAACTCCTTTGGTTCTCCCCGAGAATTTTCTCCACCCCCCCAGAATTTTTTTTTTTTAAGATTTTATTTATTTATTTGACAGAGAGAGAGTGTACAAGCAGGGGGAACGGCAGGCAGAGGGAGAGGGAGAAGCAGGCTCCCCACTGAGCAAGGAGCCTGAGGCGGGGCTCAATCCCAGGACTCTGGGATCATGACCTGAGCCGAAGGCAGACGCTTCACCGACTGAGCCACCCAGGCACCCCCACCCCAAGAATTTTCTTAAGGGGATAATAAGAGACAAATTTTATCCAGCCCTTACTAACGACGGGATACCATAAAAGGAAGCACTGCATGGATGTGTGGCTAATGTAATCCATGTAACATCCACGCAAAGAAAGTACCAGGGCTTTGTTCAATTTTCAAATATAGAAAATGAAATTCAATAAAGGTGATACAGAAAATGGAAAAATACGTCCAATGTCAAGAATCGAGTTCTCAAGCAGAATTCCACACTGGTGGCCTCAACCACTTGACCTTGTTGTGTGACCCTGGGCAAGTCACATCACCTGAGTCTGATTCCTAATCTGAGAGAAGTGTAACAGCTCCTTCCTGAAGGACTGTTGTGAGAATTTAACTTGATAAAGATGTACATATATCAGTACCTGATGATGGTGTTAGCCATCTTACTATTATTTCATTTCCTTTTTGAAATCAAACACCTCCATCGTGGGCTGATCACTGAGTACATGACGGTGACCAAGACCATCCCAGGACTTACTCTCATGGAGCTCACACACCAGTGCAGACAACCCTGTAACAGCCCAGAACCATCAGGGCTTGAGCGGGACATGTCCAGGGCCTCTGGGAAGTCAGAGGCAGGCACCTGAGGGGTAAGGGGACGCCGAAGGGTTCTGGAGGAGTCCTGAGAGCTGAAACCTTCAAAGACGAACAACAGTGACCAGGCTAATGGCCAGAGTACAAGATGGACTGGAGGCGCGTTAAAGACACAGGAAGCAGTGTGTGCAAAGGCTGAAGGATTAACTGACGGTTTGGCTTGAGAAAGCGAAGGAAGAGAAGTGAATGCGGGGGGACGGAAGAGGGGGCCGGCTCGTGCGAGGTAACCTGGAGTCTGGACTATCCCCAGAACTCACCATCCTTCTTGATCTTCTCGTTGAGATTGTTGATATAAATAGTGTGGTTGGGGCGGGTCTCGGGAACTGCCATGGAGAGAGATGCCGAGGTAGAGCTGAAAGAAGGAAAAAAGGTAACTTCAGCCCTGGGTTTCTCCAAATCCTCTGCCCCAAAGCGGGCTTAGCGGACTGCTCAGGGATCTTCCTTCCAGGAGGAAGTCAGGAGAGGCGGGAAGGAAGCACAGCTTGGAAAACAAAGCGAAAGGAGGACCGCCTCCGCTCCCCCGCGTGGTAAAGGGAGACCTCGAGAGGTTTACTACGGGTCCCAAGACGCTCTATGCGACCCAGTAGGCGGAGCGTCCTAAGTGGCGAACCCCATTGGCCCACGAGCTCAAAGGACGGCCCAAGAGAAAAAACCCCGGATGTAGGAGTCAGTTAAGGAAAGACACGACTCTAAGGCGCCCTAATCTCGCGCAGCGGGAAGGCACTTTCCCCACACGAGGCGCGACAAGGCCCAGGCGGCAAGCGCTCCGCTCGCCCGGCGTCGATGGCCGCCGTTGCCCGAGATTACTCACCAACAGAGCCGCAGCTCCCGCAAGAGCCACCTCCTACGTTTCTGAGAGTCGACTAACCAAAGCTTCCTCTCCTGGTCCCGCCTTTGTCTTCCTGCAAGCCAATCCCGCGCGTACACTCAGTAGCTTGACCAATCAGAGTCAGTCACGCCCCTGGGCCCAAACCTTGCCAATCAAAAACGACATTTGGGTTCCCGCCTCGGCCGAAAAACCCCGCCCGACCCGGCACTGAGGGCCTACGGACCAATCAGCGAAGGCCGCGGCCCCTCACGCGCTTCAAGGCAATGGAGAAGCCGCTCGTGCTTCAGTCTCTTCCGGGGGGCGGTCCTTTAAAAGCCCCTCCTCCCCCCACGGCCCCGCCTTCTCTCATCACGTGACGCTATGGGGGCGGGCACGAGTCGCGAGTCCCGCCACGTGATATGGGAAAAATGTGTGCTGCGGCCGCCATTTTGGTGGAAGGGGAGGTGCGTTTTACTCTCTGGCTCCATTACCTATACCGGCGGTATCGCGGCTTTCAGCGTCCTCCGATCTCTGAGACTTCCCCGACCCAGAGGACTTTTCCTTTTGCGCTCTGATTCCAGGACCTTCTCCACGACTAAGCCATTCTCCCTGCCAGGGGTCCTTTTGATCTCTTGACCTCTGATTCAAAGGTCAGCTCCAGGGTTCCGAACTCGGGCCTGGGATGTGAGGGGTCACAGAGCCAAAATTCCCTAGTTTTTAGCCCTGGGTCCCCCAAATCCCACCCTTTAGGCTCACCACCCCAGATCCGAGCGTTCATTTTCCCAAAATTGACTCCGGAGTTTTACAAACCTTTCCCAGGTTATACAGTAACCCTTAACTAAATCCCCCTTCTTGAGCCTTGCAACCCAGCCCCAAACTACAAATCTAGTTGCGGATAAAGGACCCGCCCTGTTAACCCCCTGCTTCCATGGTTCCAAATGTCAGTCCTGGACCTTTCAGGCCCACTACTCAGCACACAAGTCCTGGAACTCCGCGCTAAAACCTTCAGAACGCCCATCCCTGTGACTAGCTCATTTTAGAGCATCCATCCCGCCCCCATTCTTGACCTTCCGGCACTTGCGTGCCATAGACCCCAAGATGATTTCTCCGTGCTCTCCTCCGGTAGAGCCCCCAGCCTCTCCACAAACCCCTGTTCCCCAAGCCCCCATCACTCCACTTCCTGTACCCCCAAATGTCCCCAATGTAGCTTTTTCACCCCCCTCCAGTCTCCAGGCCCCTATCCCCCCACCACCACCCCCACTGCCACCTCCACCCGCTGTGAGGGGACTGGCTCCCCCTCACGTCTTCGGCCTAGAGAAGAGTCAGCTCCTGAAGGAGGCCTTAGAGAAGGCCGGCCCAGTCCCCAGGAGCAGAGATGACGTGAAGAGGCTCCTGAAGCTGCACAAGGACCGGTAGGGTCTCACCGAACCGCCTGTCTCCAGGTCACTACAGCCATCTCCTCTTGGGGTTTCCCATTTCCTCAAGGTCAAAGAGCCTGAATGCCTCAGCTCCCTACTTAGATCCATTCAGGGCACGCCTTCACCAAAGAAGAGAGATCCTGCCCTCAAGGCACCTAGTCCAGTGGCAGCCCACAGTGGTCAGAGCTATAATGAGGGAGCCCCCAGGGCGGGCCTGGCCAAGGCTGGGGCTTAAGGGGGCCTGAGAACTGTCCAGGGTGTGATGAGAATGAACAGCCTGTGCAGAGTTGCAGGCTGAAATGAAGAAGTCTTCTTTTCAAGGATCTGCAAATATTTCTGTAACAGGACAGGGGAGGTGGTAAACATGGGGTTTCTTTTTTTTTTTTTTTTAAGATTATTTATTTGACAGAGATACAGCGAGAGAGGGAACACAAGCAGGGGGAATGGGAGAGGGAGAAGCAGACTCCCCACAGAGCAGGGAGCCAGATGCAGGGCTCGATCCCAGGACCCTGGGATCATGACCTGAGCCAAAGGCAGGCAGACGCTTAACGACTGAGCCACCCAGGCGCCCCAGACATGGGGTTTCAACAAGTAGGAGCCCAGATCACACAGGGCATGGGTGCCACGTAGAGGAAGGTGGACTATCACTATCCTGAGGGCACTGGGGAGCTTCAGAAGGGCTTTGCACAGAGAGGGAGGCTACCTGTGGGGACTGGAGGTGGTGAGACAGTCAAGGGGTCCAGGAGGAAGCTGGAGCACCCAGAGATCCAGGCGGGAGGGGGCTAGACCCACGCTGGGGCTGTGGTGACCCGGTGTAACAATGAGTGAATTGCCCAGACTCAGGGAAGAAACTTCCAGCTCTCTAGACAAGTTTTTAATCTGTTTGGTTAGGACATTTGTCAGGCACTATTCTAAGTGTGTTTAGATATTTATTTCATCCTTTCAGTGATTCTGTAGGATATTAACTATTATGTCATATTCCAGATGAGGAAACCGAGGCTCACAGAGCTGAAGTCCCTTAGCCACAGCACTTAGAAGAGCCCAGTTTGCATTCTGGCAGCAGGCCTTCATGCTTTTAAGCACTGTGCTAACATCTTCCCATCAGGACTGTGCTCCAAACTGGGGACCAGGAGCTTTGGGTTTTCTCCCCAGCCTTAACTCTTTCCACTGGCCTTGGAACGGAAATACTGGATACGCTTGTTGCCCAGCCCCTCCTCAGCCCGGGGCCTCATCCAGATCAAACTTTTCTGAGTGACTTCCCCAAGGGTGGGGCTGGGCAGGCCTGCAAGAGCTCACTATCCAGGTGATCTCTTAGGCCTGTGGAGCACGCTCTTACCTGGTTCTACTCTAGGCTGAGTTAAGGGATTTTCATCCCTAATGAACAGGCTTGAGAAGGGAAAAATCACAGGAAGGGTTTGGGTCTAGAGACACCCCCCCCCTTCGAGAAATTTCCTCTAGTAAATCCATTTTTCTGGCTCTGAGTTGCAAACATTTTGCACATCTGTTCTTCCTTTCAATGACCGAGAGAAGGAGCAGGTGGAAGGATGATCACCGCTGAGCGGATGAGGACGCGGAGGCTCGGGCAGGGAGACACGCCTCAGCGGGAGAAGGAAGTCAGCGTCAGAGCCTGGAGCTGCCCTCCGCCTTAGGACAGCCAGACCCGGGTTCCTTTCCCCATCCCTCAACACTCCACTCCCAGTCAGACCTCAAGGGGGGATCTAGGAGCTGGTTCCCATGTGACCTGAGCATGCTCTGATTCAGTTTCAGAAGTGACTTGCAATGGATCCTCTTCTGTGCCGACCTGCCCTCCCTCATCCAGGAAGGCCCTCAGTAGGTGCCCTGATTGATCTGGGACTCCGACCCCTCCCTGCCTTTGCTGTGCTTCCTGAGGACCGATCTGTAGGGTGGGAGGTGTGGGATCTCCCCAAGATCTCTCCCTTGGGAAGAGGCAGAGGGGAGGGAAAGGGGAGGGTGGGGTCCCAGGTGCATGCGCAGTAAACTGTTGGAATGGATGAGCAAGTGAGTAAGCAAGTGAACAGTCTTCATCTCTGACTCTACTTCGGCATCTCCTCTTCCTGGAAGCCCAGGTGACCTCTCCCCCCCCTTCTCACCCTCCCTGCAGCCCACCAGGCCTGGCAAAAGGGAAACTCCCCCAGCAGAGCCGACCTGTTCCTAACACTCCAGCTTCTAGGGCAGAGGGGGCTCAGTAAAGACATGACTTAGGGGTTGAGGGACTGGGCCTGTCTCTCCCCAGGTGCGGGCTGGTGGCCTTGTGGATGGCAGGCACACTGCTGGCACCGCCCAGCGGCATCCCCCTGGAGAGACTGGAGCAGATGGCCGTGGAGAGAGGCTACACAGCCCAGGGAGAGATGTTCTCCGGTGAGTTGGGTGCAGAAGGGTCTCAAGCCAGTCCTGTGAGGGGACCCTGTTCGAATCCTCAGCCCCTTCTGGAGGCAGGTTGTCTTCCTTCCCAGCCCAGCTCTGCCCCTTCCTGCTGGGCAGCTGGGGACAAGCAGCTTACCCTCTCTGTGCCTCGTTTTCTGCATTTGTACAAAGAGGTGGCAGTTGCGGTGATGATTCGAGGTGCCGATCCCCAGTTAGCCCATGGCTTGCAGCCAGGCACACAGTGATCCTTCTGTCTCTTGTCACCCCTGCAGTGGCCGACATGGGCAAGCTGGCCCGGGAGGCACTGGGCTGCCAGGCTGAGCAGCTCCATGGTGGCCTGGGCGGTCCCAACAGAGCCCCTGTCCTGCAGCACCTTGTCTCCGGACATCCCCTGCTCATCCCGTATCCCAGGGCCCAGAAGGGAGCTGGGTGGGGATGGAGAAGGGTGGGTCCCAGGACCACACCGCAGCTTTGGCCTTAACCCCGCCCTCCACACCAGCTACGACGAGGACTTCAACCACGAGCCATGTCAGAGGAAGGGCCACAAGGCCCACTGGGCGGTGAGCACAGGTGGGTCTCCCCTTCCATACTCCGGTATGCTCACCCTGTTTGTCCCCAGCCCCCTCATCAGCTGCCGCACTTTCAACCTGACACTGGCACTTCTCCTGTACTCAAGGTGGGGACCAGGGCTGGGCTGTCCCCATCCCTACAAGATGCTTAGTAGGGACCCGGCAGGTGGTAGGTGCCTCAGTATCTGCCAGTCAGGGTTTCCACAAACAGAAGCTCAGAACACGGACTTCAGGATCAAACAGTTTGGGCTCCAGACATGCTCCAGCCACTTCCGGGCTCTGTGACTCTGGGCTTCCCTTCCTCCGTCTGGAAATCGGGGTGACAGTGGGCAAAGCATATGAAAGTCTGACCGGCGCAGGCTTTGGCCTCATTCCGCCTGCCTGCAAGAAGGCTAATTTGCATGTTAGGTGGCCTGGAGGCTCCCCCATGCTGGGTCCGTGGCCTTGAGGGCTTCTCTGAGCATTCTTTTACTAGACAGCAGGAAACCACTGGGTGATGATGCCTGCTCTGTTGAACAGCACCTCCCCTCCCTGTGCTACCGGGCTGTAGGAGGCAAGACTTAAAAGCCCGCAGCCCTGGAGCCAGACACCCTGGGTCCAGTCCCAGCTCAGCTGTGTGCCTGCTGCCGCACCGACTGCTACCCTGAAGGGCCGTGGGGGGAGCTTGGTGAAGCCCCGGTACCGAGTCCGCGCTCGCTCCCGCTCACAGCCTCCCCTCTCCTCCCAGGGGTCCTGCTGGGTGTGCAGGCCGTGCCAAGCCTCGGCTACTCTGAGGACCCCGAGCTGCCAGGTCTGTTCCACCCAGTGCCCAACACGCCCCGCCAGCCACCAGCCCTGCCAGAGGAAGGCTCCCCAGGAGCCGTCTACCTTCTCTCCAAGCAGGGCAAGAGTTGGCATTACCAGCTGTGGGACTACGACCAGGTCCGGGACAGCAATCTACAGCTGACGGACTTCTCGCCGTCACGGGCCACGGACGGCCAGGTATACGTGGTGCCTGCAGGCGGGGTGCGGGCCGGCCTCTGTGGCCAGGCCCTGCTCCTCAGACCCGGGGACTCCAGCCACTAGCCTGCTGCAGCCCTGAGGCCGGCTGACAGGGCCCCCGGCCACAGCTTGGGGTCTGTCACTGTGTGAAGAGTGCTCCGGTTTCTCCCTTTGCAAGAGCCCGCCAAGTGTAGGCTGTGTTCCCGAAGACCTCCAGCCAGAGACCCTCTGCGCGGAGGTCCCCTTCCACCCGTCCGTCCGGTCCCAGGCCCCTTCTCCCATGCCCACTCCCCCCAGTATTGGGCTCCTGATGTGTGGCTGGGGTTCAAGCCAGGAGCCAACCAGACAGGCTCCCTCTCCAGGGAAGAGACTTGGCCACAGCTCGGCCCTCAGGTCCTGCCTGTATGCCCCACCTCAGTGTTGCATCCAGCCATTTCTCACTGGTGACCAGCCTCCCTTAAAGCACCCGCCTCGGGCGCCTGGGTGGCTCAGTTGGTTAAGCGACTGCTTTCGGCTCGGGTCATGATCCTGGAGTCCCGCATCGGGCTCCTTCCTCAGCGGGGAGTCTGCTTCTCCCTCTGACCCTCTTCCCTCTCGTGCTCTCTATCTCTCATTCTCTCTCTCTCGAATAAACAAATAAAAGCTTAAAAATAAATAAATAAATAAAGCACCAGCCTCTCTCTGGACACCTGAGGAGCCTCACCATACCCCTTGCTGCCCCCCAGCGCCTATTCCCACGGAGCCTAGGAAGCCTTGCCTTTCAAAATGCAAACCGGGTCTGAACCACTCGCCTCCAGAGAAGCTTCCAGCAGCTCCTAGTTGCTCACGGGATAGGGATTAAACTCTCCCGGCCCCAGCTCATCATGCTTTCTGCCGCTAGCCACACTGGCCTTCCAGGTCGGTAGAGTGCCCTATTCCCCTGCACCCAACCCTCTGCTAACAATAACTACTTAATTCTCTATTTTGGCTCATCTTCCTCAGGAAGACTCCCTAGCCCCAGGCACAGCCCCTCCCCCACCTCCTGTTCTGATTTAGAACCGAATGTGTTTCTATGTGCCAACCCCTTTGCTCATTTTAACTCGTCAAATTCTCCAGCCATGTAAGGAAGGGACTAGATCTTCCTCCATTTTACAGATGGAGAGACTGCGGCCTGGAGAAGTGTGGTCATGGGCCTGAGGTCACATGGCTGGCAAGTGGCAGGGCCAGGATTCAAACCCGGCAGTTAGTAGCTATACAGATGTGGGTGGAAAAAGAGGTTATTGATTGAACGAGGACCTGTTGCTTCCACTCTGAAAGGGAGGAACAGGTCTGTCTTGGTCACCTGTGTACCCAGTGCCGGGCAAAGGGTCTTATTTAGAGATGCTGTACAGTGTGGTGTCCCCCCCCCAAAGAGGAGCACCCCCGCCCTGGCCCCTCTGCACCGGAGCATCCCAGCCCTGACACCCTGGTTGGTGCTGCCTGGCGCACTGTCCTGGGAGGCCCTGAGGGTGCAGCTGGGAGCTGTCTGGGTCACTAGTCTTTTCCCCAAATGGTCCAACACAGAGCCAGGCACAAGAGCAGCTGCTGGGTGGATGCTGACTGGATGAACCGGCTTGCTTTGCATCCCAAGCCACTCATGATCCCGTGCCCCCACGCAGCACTAATGGTGAAACTGGGAGCTTTGAGCCCACACACCCCAGAAGCAAAAGAAAAAAGTTCATAAAGTTGACCGACTGTGCGATTTATTGGGGCGTCGTCATGGAGGGGAAAGCACATGAAGCGATTCTGCCTCCTGTTCGGAGCGCTGCCCCACCTAACAACTACCTCTCTGGGATAAATAAGTATAAAGGTGGTCAGTAGAAAAGGAGCCCACCTCCTCAGGCCTGGAAGACACATTCAAGCTTCAGCTTAGGGAAGAGGGAGGTGCCTGGTTCCCAGCCTCTGAAGCTAAGAAGCTAGACGTACAGGTGCAGGAGGAGGGGGATGGAGGGGGATGGAGGGGCATCACCCATACGTGGCGGTGCTAGGGTCTTTGGTTTGGACCAGGCTGCAAGCCCCAGGGCCACAGCCAGTGGCCCCACCTACCCTGCACCCCTGGAGGAAGGCAGCTCTGCTTCCCAAACCTGCTTTTCCATGGCTGAAAGCCCTTCCCGCCACCAGCCGGCTAGGAACAAGGGAAAGGGGGTAAGGGGTGGGAGGAGGAAGTCCCAGGACTGAGGCTGGTGCCTGAGGAACGAGGCGGTGCAGGTCACAGTGCCGGGCACGGGACGTGGCTGTGGTCTGGCTCTGCAGGGGGTCAGCGGAGTTCTTTCAGGAGCGGGGAGGATCCCATGGGGCCAGGGGAGGGCAGGACAGGGAGAACTGGGTCCTGCCCAACGGCAGCAGCTCTCAGCCCAGCCCCGTGGTGTCACACCCTCCCTGGAGTGTCAGCGCTGGAATGGCTCCCGGATGAACGGATGGGGCCAGAACTCTCCCAGGCAGACAGGTGGCTTCTGCCTTTGTGCACGGGTGAGGGCTAGTTCACCGGCGCACCAGTGACGAAGCTGACCTTCCCCTGGCTTCCAGGAGCCAGCCTGCAGCCGGGAGGAGGCTGACAAAGAGGCCGTGATTACAGTCATTCCTATGGCGAGAGGCACCATGTCACGCCTGTGCCCTGTGGCATCTGAATTGTGTTCTGTCAGGGCTCACGGTTTAGTTACGGTCTCCAGCAGCCCCTCGGAAACTTTCCTGGCTCATCGGAGGATCCAGTCTGGTTCTGATTCACCGTGGGATGCAGCCATGTCACACCCCTGCTCCAGTCTTTAAAACCTCCCTATCATGAAAGGGCCGGACGCTACCTCGTCTCCGAGGCCCTTCGGACCTTCCACTCTGGTCTCTCGTGGTGTACAACACAACCTCTCCCATCCCCGCGATCAGGCCCCCACCCCCGTGGCCAATCTCAGGGCACCACCAGCCAGACGGGCACCATCCAATAAATAAACCTGGTAGTGGGCAAGTGGGTCAACCCTGGGCCAGCCCCTGAAGGAGGTGGATCAGGTTGTCCAGACCCCAGAGGTACCCATCCTCGCGGTTGCCCTCGGCCCAGGGCAGCCGGTGGCTGAGCGTCTGGTGGTCAGGGAGGGCCACTGTCTTGCCGAAGTCAATCATCCAGACCCTGGCCAGGCCAGTGTGGTCATGCACGAAGAGGAGGGAGCTGCCCACCACCTGCAGGGAAAGAGGTCGGAGGTTAGCAGGAGAGCGGGCATCGGCTCAGGCCCCCTCCCCAACAGGCAGCTGAGCAGGGGGCTTGACAGCATGAACTCCGGAGCCGGGCTGTCTGGGTTCAAATCCTGACTCTGCCTTTTCACCCTTTTTCACACTAGGGTACAAACTCAGATGCCTGCAGGATCTCGCATGGGTCAAGAGCGCCCGATGCCTACCCCCGTGGAAGAAGCGCTCAGCCCCCGCAGACTGCTGCTGGTGATGATGATAAGAGCCCCCCTCCCCCAGCTGCTAAGGTCATTGGCAGCATTCCACGACCCACACACGCTCTCGAAGTGCCTTGCGGTGCTGGACACACAGCCCTCGGTAGATGCTGGTGGGGGGGGTGGTTAAAATTAGAAATAGTACTTTCGCTGCCTTCATGGAACTCCAGGTGTGCAAGGCCCTCCCCTTTTCTAGTCGGGTTTCAAACCCCACTGCTCCCAGAGAACCCAGGTGACTGGGCAGGTGAGCAGGTGGCTGTCAGGAGAGGCAGTCGCTGCCCCACTCCATTTGGCTGTTGGCGTACGGCGAGCAGCCCAGCGGGGGCCACGTCTCCCAGTGGGCCCGGGAAACTGGATGTCCCGACTCGGGTGTCAAGTCTTATGTTTTAGATGCTGGCAACTCATTTTTTAAAATGCTAAGTCACCGGGTGGGTGAAACCGAACAGGAGCACAGAAGAGATGAGGTCCCCGGGCCTCCTCTTCAGGACTTGGCACGTAGAGCCCAAGGGCAGAGACGAGGACCATGAGGGTGCCATTTAATGGTAATGAACAGTATAGTCCCGGCTGGGGCATACTGAGGGTGGACCATGGGCCGCCATGTATGGGCCTTTCGTGTCTTAACCCGCCTTATCCTCACCCCGCCCAGGAGGCAGGGGCTCTGCTAGCCCATCCTGCCTGTTGGGAGACAGGTCCCAGGCTCAGGGGGCTGGGGAGTGCAGACCCGGGTTCGAACCCGGAGGCCCAACTCCCAGATCAGGGATCTACGGGAAGTCGGGGACGCCGGAAAAAAGAAGTGAGGGGGACCTGAGCCGGGGTGGTGGAAGAGCTTGGAGAGAGGAAGGAGAGGACACCCACATGCAGTGAGGTCACCATTCACAGACTTCCTGCGACAGCCCAGAGAAATGAATGTTTCCAAAGAGACACAGGCTGCAGACGGGGTGAGAGCCACCAAACAGGAAGGCAGACACGGGTAACTGGAAATAATTATGATTACAAAGTAATCTTAAGAGCAAGAAGTTAGGGCACCTGGGTGGCTCGGTTGGTTAGGTGTCTGCCTTCGGCTCAGGTTGTGATCCCAGGGTCCTGGGATCGAGCCCCACTTCGGGCTCCCTGCTCCGCGGGAAGACCGCTTCTCCCTCTCCCTCTGCCTGCCGCTCCCCCTGCTCATGCTCTCTCTCTCAAATAAATAAATAAAAAAACATTGTTTTTACCTGTGTTAGGAGGAAGCTGAGGCCCTAGAGGGTAAGTCGCATGCCCAGTGACGAACAGCCTTCATTGCAGACCCCGTGGCTCGAGCCCATGTTCTGGATTATCCCATCTCCCTAAAACCCACTCTGCTGCCTACCCTAAAAAGCAAACCCCAAAACATGGGGTTCCTCTTAATAGCTTTGCCCTGTAACTCTGTCAGCGGTTTCTCTTCGGTGCCACCCGGATGCTGACACCCCCCACCCCACCCCACCCCCACACAGGGCCTTCCGCTCCCACGGCAGCTGGGGCTCGCACCTCATGGGTCCTGAAGAAGGGGGAGTTCTCCAGAGCCTCTCGGAGTTCTTCCAGGCGAGCCACATACTTTCTCTGTGTGAGAGGGAGCACTTCTTGGTTAGCACAGGGACTCTTTGGGTCCTTCCCCGCCTCGAGAACGGACATCCTCTACCCACAAAGGAGCGGGCAGAACCCTGCCAGGATGGGATCAGGTGAGCCGCAGGGAAAATGGGAGGTGGGCGGAGGCTTGCATGCCTCTGGGTGGCACAGAGCAGAGTATGGTTGGGACATTACATGAATATCTACAATTCCTAGCAGCAACTCCAACCAAGAGGTGGAGTCTGAGTCCCTTTAACCTCGGCTTGGTCAGAGGACTTGCTCTGGCCAATAAAACGGGGCAGAAATGATGGTGGCCATTCCGGGCCATCGAGACATCTTGCATTTTCACTTGTTCTCTGGGCCACCTGCTTCCACCCAGGAACGCGCGCCCAGGCTCGCCTCCTGAAGCGTGAAAGACAAGTGGCCAAGTCGTGAGCTGAGACAGTAAGCCCATCACCAGACATTTGAGCAGGACCCTCCTGGTCCAGCCAGCTCCGGCCAAGCCACCAGCTGA